ATCTATATATATAGCTGCAGAGAAGACTTCATTCGCAATGACTGAAATAATTATTTCACATTGTTTTTCTGTTAGTTTTACAATAATGCAATAGATAATCATCATCGACAATTAAATTGCAAACGATTAAAGTAAGTTTCATAGCCGTATATGGAGTATTTGAGCCAGACAACGTACTTATCCGGACTCTCGCTGGACCATTTAGTTTTTATTTTTTTATAGACAACCGGAAGATCCGACAATTTTTTGCAAAGTGATTGCAAACGTTGCTAACGATTCCGCAATTTTGGGTATTTTTTTCATGTCCCAATTCGAAAGTCATTCGCGGAGTTCCTGGAGCCCACACCGTGTCATTAATACACATTATTTGACTTACATCAATCACCTGTAAGAAATTTATTAATTAAACGGTGTAATATACATACCCACCACTGCGTGTGAGTAGATATAATGTAAGCATTGCAAACAAATCATTAAAAAACATTGTAAGATTACAAGAAATATCTTTTTAAAAAGTTGTCATGGAAGCACCTTTCGGATCAAATTTAATAAAGCAGTCGTAGACAAAAAATAGATTGTTTTTAAAAAATTATTTTTTACAAAGTTCCTAATAACAAACACGGGGCAAATTGTTTAAAAATATTTTACTAATACTTAACTAACTCACTATCAGTCGAAAGTTAGTGGCGGAATGGCCTGTGAAAAGTTGAGCCCAACAGATCACGCTACTAAAAATCCGATGGCGACCGAAGGGCTTCAAAATCCAAGGATAGAAATAAGTGTACCTAATGCCACTCTTGCGGCTAACATATCTTATTTGTGTGCAAAACCAAATGTGCCATTTAAAAAATCTCAAAATAAGATTAAAAGTGATTCCGCAAAATGTAGTAATAAGAAAACAATTGAATTCATCAATCTATTCTCTCAACCGGAATACAATTCAACTGTTCAACTCATTAAAAAATTCGACGAAATAAATGAAAAAAAACCGGTGACTACTTCTGAAAATTCACAAGCATGCAAGTCTCTTATTAATGAAAAGGTTAGAAAAAACACTTGTATACTTCTGTAAATAGATAAAGATTCCTTGTTAGTTCTACAATTATTATTAGATTTCAGCTGCTCTAGAGTTTTTACCGACTGAATCTGTGTACAAAAACTTGATAAGCCTTTCAAACTATGAGAATGATAATTTTCCAGTAAAAATTATGCGAAGCAAGGATCCTGAATCACGAAATAAGGACATTATACCTCATTTAGAAAACTTTTATGTACTAAAATTTAGTGAGGAACGATTCCTGGTTTCCAGTCCAATAGTTAGAAAACCTGATCATGTTTTCTCATGTGATGCTTTCAAAATAAGCAATAAAATATCTACATGGAAATTTTGCAGGGACATGGATTATTAAGTTAATGATTTTCTTCAGATATATTTTTATTACTCTTGTAACTTCTCAGTGTGTCAAATTATATCATTTAAAAATGTATACTTTAAAACTGAAAATAGTACATCTAATAAACAAATTTTTATTGTCAGTGTTTAAAAAAAATACAGCTATGATGATATCAAAATTTGGGAACAGTAAACAGGTTAACATTGTTTGAGATTACAAAATTAAAAAAAATATTTGCAACGTATAATAATTTTTAGACTACTGCATATTATTAGAAAAATGGATTTAGATTTTTATCATAATCTTTATCATCTTCTCTTAATGGATCCTTCTTGTTGTAAGTATCATTAATATTTTCAGTATCCCTTTCAGCAAAAGGATTTTTAAATTCATCATACTCATCTATAAATGGATTCAGTGGTACTATTGGTGACATAGGTAGCACACATGCTTTTTCAACTGGTGAAGATTTTGGAGATTGTTTGCTGTTGTTTATTTCATGAATAGATTCTTTTCTTAAATTAGTTCCAGGTATTGAGAAGTCACTGTTAATTGCATTTGAAGCTAAAGAAAAAGAATAAAAATCCTGTTTGTTCAGTGCTTGAAGTAAGTCACCAGTTGCGGCTGGAGATGGTAAGAAATCATTACTTGCACGCCACTGATCTACTTTACCTACAACTGTAAGGAAGAATATGAATGAAATTAAATATTATTATATTCTGTTGCAATAAGTACTACGCTCTATTAAAAAAACCATGAGATTTTACCACATGGTTTTGTCTCAAATAACCACATGGTTCTTAAAAGCCATATGATTTTTCAAGAAACTTTATGGTTTTGACAAAAAAGCCCTAAAAGATAAATTGAGACATCAAAAATTGAACTAACGATTGTGATAGCAATATTAACAGTTATAGTAAGGGTATTTTAGTATGTGTTTTTTTACCAGTAAAAGAGTTTTTGTTTTCATTTAAGCATATGTCAACGTCAGCTGTTACTTCATGAGCAGTGCAATCTGTGTCATGCTCCTGCTTGACTATTTTTTGTTTTATTTTACTTGTTAAAGTTCGTTGTTTATATCGTTGCCATTCAGAAATAACCATGAGTTTTTTGAAAACTCCTCGACAAAAATAGTCTGCTACTATTGAAAATGGATCTTCTGCTCTATCCAACAGACTGTGGAAAGTTTCATGGAGATCTTTTGATTGCTCTTGAGCTTTCATAATATCTAGCCATTTTTTATTACATGGCATGCATGCTGGGCATTCATTTTCATTTTCTGAAAAACTTTGGAAACAGCTGCAACAATAAAAACTTTTTTGTTCAAGACATTTTTTTTAATGCCTGTTGTATATTTAGAAGTAACTTGTTACTGTCAATCTATCTACAGCTAAGAGTAGAGTGAAACATTGGGTATACTTCACAGCTTTGAAAAACAATGCTGAAGTTATGCACTTATTCCAAATTTTAAACGTGTATTGTAAAAAAATTTTAACTTCAGCGTTATTTTTTGTTATGTACAGGCAAAGCATATAGCAAGAAGAGTATATTCTATATTCTCTGGTACAGGTAGATAGGAAAAAGTATGCCTTTAGAGTAAATCATACTAGTGTGTACCATGAATGTGTGCATGCGTGCGCAACTGCGTATTGGTGCGTTTAGGAAATTACTTTAGGTAGACAATCACAAGCCGAACTACACAGTCGAGCCCGAGCCTCGCTGATTACCGGACATACGCTCACCTCTGTGTAGAAACTACACGTTATACAAAAGACTTGTTCGATTCAACAAAGTGATAGATTTAGCTTTTTGACCCCTGGATTTCAAGAAAATTCTGATTAAAAAATAAAAATAAGTCGCTAGAAAATCGTATTCAAACAAGATTGCAATACTTTTGAACAGCTAAAAATGTCAATATAGGCCCTCATAAGAATGGTAAAAATGACAAAAACAGGTTTTTCGCGTCTAGATAAAATACTATAAGGACTGTACAAAAAAAAATTTTAGATAATAAAGATGCTCTACTTCAAGACTAAAAAAATGCGATCCGCAAAATTAAAACCGGTTGAGCCGTTTTTTTGAACTTTGCGAAAAACCGTGATTTTTTGCTATTTTTTCGAAATTTAATAACTTTTGTTCTAATAAATATTAAGGGCTGAAATTTAGAGAGAAGGTAGGTATTATAGCTCTCAACAAGCACACTAAATTTTATAAAGATCGGTAGTAAGCTTTTGTCGAACCGCTAAGAAAAGTAAAAAAAGGTCCTTTCAAAAAATTGCCATAAAAAAGTTTTTGGTCATTTTACGTAAATTTTACAAAAAGGTCTTGGTTCCTCTAGACTTACTCTACATTATGCTGGAATGGCGTTTCATGATATTTCCAGTTAGTATTAAAAAAATCGGTTTTAAAAACAGCATTTTTCAGCTGGCTGAGCATTGAGGCGAGCCGCCACGAAGCGCCGCTGGAGGCCACGCCCACTTTCCGAAGCGAGGCTTCGGTGATTTTGAGGGAGCCCCTTCAAAATTTAAAATGCTGTTTTTTAAACTTATTTCTTTAATAGTAACTGAAGGTTTCATGAAACCCCATTCCAACATAATGTAAAGTAAGTCCAGAGGATTCGAGACCTTTTTGTAAAATTTACGTAAAATGACCCAAAACTTTTGTATGGCCATTTTTCAAAAAGACCTTTTTTTACTTTTCTTAGCGGTTCGACAAAAGTACCACCGATATTTATTAAATTTAGTGTGCATGTTGGGAGCTATAATACCTACCTTCTCTCCAAATTTCAGCCCTTAATATTTATTAGAACAAAAGTTATTGAATTTCGAAAAAATAGCCAAAAATGGCGGTTTTTCGCAAAGTTCAAAAAAACGGCTCAACCGGTTTTAATTTTGCGGATCGCATTTTTTTGATCTTGAAATAGAGCATCTTTATTATCTGAAATTTTTTTTTGTACAGTCCTTATAGTATTTTATCTAGATGCGAAAAACCTGTTTTTGTCATTTTTACCATTTTTATGGGGGCCTTTATTGACATTTTTAGCGGTTTAAAAGTATTGCATTTTTTTTCGAATACGATTTCCTAGCGAGTAATATTTTTTATTTCTTATTTTATCAGAATTTCTAGGACATAAAAGCTAATTCTATCACTCTACAAGTGCTCCAAACGCTCCGAGCGACCCAAGAGTCATTGAGATGCATATCAATATTTATGGCCAAGACTGTAAATATAGATATACACCTCAATGACTCTTGGGTCGCTCGGAGCACTTGAATTGAACAAGTCTAATATAAAATAAAAGACATTACAAACTATAAAGGCCATCATTGATTGACTTACAATCCTACGACCTTACAAGCCCATTAGTTTTTAATAATATTTATTTTAAAAAATGATACAAACTGTTGATGGTACGAATGCTGGCACATAAAGTGAACAGATGGCAATTCTAACTGATGATGGCAAGCACTACATCGTGATCCTTGAAAAATTATTGTATCATCTTTGATTGACTGTATTAACTCTCGCAACTTTTCCGTATCCATTTTATACTTTTCAATTAGTTCTTTGTCTACCTGGACCTGATTATATCCCTGACGTAAGACATTATTTAAGTAACTTCTAACATCTCCCAGAGTACATGAGTACGATGTTGAAACTGTATTGATTACTATGAGTGGTGACAATAACTTTTCTTTTGCTGTGAAAATGAAATTAATATATTGATTTAATAAATGCTTATTTACTGTTTTTAGAATGGTGTAGGGATGATCACGCAATTAATAAGCTCAGCTTAGATAACCTATATGCTTTACATTTTTTCTGCATACTCTTACTGAAAGTGCTTCATATCTGCCCTGTTACAAAACAGATAATCAGCTCTTTCGACGAGGGTATGCAGAAAAATAGCATACCCACCACGTTCGGAGGTTAAGAAATGTCTTGGATTTTACGTTATCCACCCTTGGCTTCGCCTCGGGCGTTTATTCATGTGAAATCTACGACACTCTTAACTTCGCTCACTACCCCAACGGAAAAATTAATGTGAGAAAACGTACACCAAACCACAACTTTCTGTGATGTAATGTGAGATTTTGTTATAACTAATAACTTGTAGACACATTTTCTTACATTATTGAGTTAAATTTACTTTCAATGAAAAAAAATTAAGGAATTGTTGTAAAAAATTATTAGTGTAATAGTATGTGGTAAATTACAACAAAACGTAACAAAAATGTAATAAAACGTAAAACAGCATAATAAAATATAAAAAACATCCGGAATCTATGAGAATATTACAGCTCCTTACATTTTGTCACGTTTTCTTGCAGGTCACGGCATATTCATATTATTACACATGTTTACTTTTCTTTACATTTTATTACATTTTTAATTTCCCGCTGGGGTAGATGCGTAATATACAATTTATTTTAATCAAATTAAGAGCTATTTAAAAAAAGTAAGGAGTATGAAATATCACTTATAATTTAAAAAAGTTCGATTTTGTAAATTTAAATCATCCACTAACTATAATATTAAACTTTAAAAAGAATTGTTTTTTTACTGCAGGGTTCACAAAAAAATTAGAGCAGTTTTTCTATGAAGTAGCAGGGAAATGGAAAAAAATAGTCATAGAGTAATTTTCCAAAGTGGCATTATTTTTAATAAGATAATATACATCATCACCATCATCGTCATCGTCATTGTCATCGCCATCGCCATCGCCATCGCCATCATCATCATCGTAATCATTATTATTACCATAATCATTACTATTCTTCTTTTTGAAGTGACACTTCTTTAGGTACGCCTTATATGGGGAGTTAACCGATGAAACGAGCGAGCGAGCGAGCGTTCGAACGCTGTTGTGCACATGTGTATGTAATATTATCTATTTGTACTACCCAGCGTTGACTGCAGCGCAGAGGATCTGTTGGTCTATCTCTCTCCCTTCCTTACACAATAGTACGCCGCAGTTGATACTTTATCTATATGTATAATATAGCCTCTCTCTATAGTGCTCTATACCTACTGCTGCATGGTAAAAATCGTGACGTGGTTGTAATACGGGCTAAGCGGTACTATCAGGCAAATAATGTCTGACACAATACGTCACTTGATCTCTTCGAAGTCTTACAAAAAAAGAAAATAGTAAAAATTCTCCTTTCCAATTTATCCTTTTATACATAAACATGTACATAAAAAATCGTGCATGAAGTATCAAATATGTATTATACGACAACCTAACTTTTGAAAACAAGAAGAAACTCTGGAACTCGAATGAAAAGCAAAATTATCTTTAAAAAACGATTTTTACGAGTTTTCTAAAGGCAAACTACATGATCGAGGTGAAAAAGTATAGAGGGGTTGGACTATGCACAAAGATTACCCCAATTATTTATTTTTTCGAACGTATCTTTAAAAGATCGAATAAAAAATTTTTTTTTTGTATGCCGTGTTAAAATAATTAATATGGACATTATTTACAATATCTTCGAAAAATTTTCGTCACAACATAACCTCTCAAAATTAAAAAAAAACAGCCATATCTCGACAAGGAAGCTAGAGAGACCCAAAATAACCATTTTTACGGATTTTCATAGGAAGAACTGCATTGTTGACGCGCACAAATAGAAAGGGGTTGGGCTATGCACAAACAAAACCTCAATATTCTCGTTCTTCGACTGTATCTTGAAAAGAACAAATCGAAAAAAATGTTTTATTTAGTATCGCATATTGAGAACATTAATACGGATGTTGACAAAATCTTTAAAAAAATTTTGTTACAACGTAACCTCTAAAAATTAAAAAAACATATCTCACAGGTAAAGTTATATCTCACATATCCTACCCATAAATTGATTTACTTTATATTCTCGATCATATATTACAAGATTATAATAATGTTACTTGATCAAAACCTATATTCTTATGATTAATTTTGAGATTAGTAAAAATTAGTTAAGCACCGATAAATTTTAATATTAAATTACACAGGACCACAAAAAAAAAGTTTTTTAATTTGGCATGTAAAACATGTTTTCTAACGTATTTTATGGTGCTGAATCCAAATTCGAAGTCAGAATACGGATTCTCGTTGATAAATTGAGTTAATCGCTGTTTAAAGTCAGAAAATCCAGAAAGTCAGTCTTAAACACTTTATCCATCATGTTCAAATGCTTAATGTGCAAGGATCATTAATATCTTATTTTTCAGTGTACAAGAGGGACAGACTTCAAGTATTTCGACCAAACAAGTTGAAAAAAAATTAAGAATTCTGATGATCCCAATCCCCAGTTGGCTGTAGGCTTATGCCTCAATATATTTCATTCAATTTTTCGATCGTTTACCTATCTTTTTATCCTCGAAAGATTCGCGTAGGGGATTTCTCTTACATTTTTTCACTTTTTTTCTTATTCGTTTCCCTCTTTAATGTCCAGCAAAAGTCAGTCATCATATTAATATCCCACCGTCCGGGTCCTTGATAACGTCTCTCCATCTCTTTAATATCATGATGGAATCGTTAAACTTGCTCTTCGCTGAAATCTCCAAGATTTTCTGGGAAAGATCCAGGTGATAGTCGAGGAAATGTAGTTTGAGATTCTTCACAATTTCTTGATATTATTGACTTTTAGTGTTTCCAAGAAAATTTTACACGACATCTTTGTAACCAAGGCATGCTGCTTCTTTAGTAGAGGTCATAGTAATCGCAAAAGTTTCATCTCTCAATAAAGTACAGGTCTGTGGTCCATCAAATATACTTTGTTGGACTTAAGCATCCGACAACTTAGAGAAGGCACGCTTGATATATCTAAAGCATTGCTCTTCGTTGTCTTGAGCCTTAATAAACTGTTTTAACAATCGTAATTTAATATGTAAAGGAGGCAAAAGAATTTTACTTGGCTCAACTAATGGCTGCTTTGTGACATTCTTTGAACTATGCTGTAATGATGTTCTAGGTCTCTATTCTTTTTTATCGTAATGGTTTTATGAAAAACCACCACTTATCAACTTTATAAGCAGCTGGTTTTAGTTTACTAGTTAAGCCTACTACATCGTGACAGTAAACTAGATTAGGGTCTTAAGTGAAAAAACTCCTGTACTCTTTATCACTATCGCAATGAAACGACACTGAAAAATACGATACTAATTATCCTTGCACAATAAGCATTCGAACATAATGCATAGAGTGTTTTAGACTGACTTTCTGACTTTAAACAGCGATATACTTAAAACTTGTACCGCGAGATCCCCTATTCTGACTTCGGACTCGGATTCAGCACCATAAAATACATAAGATATCATGTTTTACATGCCCAATTCAGAAATTGTTTTTCTACACACACACACACACACACACACACACACACACACACACACACACACANACTCCAAACCGTCCAAACGCAAACACTCCAAAGTCCAAACTCCAAAACTTTTAACAGTCCACACTATAGTGTGTATACCTATCAGTGTATGTATTACTACATATATATATAGGCTTTCATAACATCCCAGATGGAGACGATTTTGTTGGAGCGAATTTCTCGCGCATGCGTATTTCAACATATATATAGATAGTTTTACAAGTAGCGGAAATTCGAGGAAATTACGCGCAATTTTTTGGCTATTTTTGCAGATTTTTAGAAACAATTCAGGTGCCCATGTGTCACACAGCCAAAATTTTGACTATCCTGCAGCCTCAGCTCCATAGACACATAAAAAATAGACTACTTATTCTTACGTACAGAGCTGAAGCACAGGTAGAAAGAGACACAACATTGAACGTGTATATCTGTCTCTCTCGCACGTTGCCAACGGTGGGGAAGTTGCATCAGCTGGCCTTAGATTACTGACCTGTTTACATAAGAACAAGCCAGCGTTGGGATAGGTGGATTCAATATCGGAACTTTTTCCCTAGATCGTATAGCTATATATACGATCTAGGGAGAATGTTCCGTCGAGCAGACAGCACAGCAGTAAAGGGGCATTGCCAAAGACACGCGAAAATTAAAAATTGTAATATTAATAACACAAATGCCTATCACCCAATGACCCGGGGTGCTAACTGGCCTCTCTATTAAATAATAAAGTATTAATTA